CTCTGCATCTCAAGTGGCTACTGCTTATGTTGATCAAGTTTACAGATTGCACGGCTTGCCTGACTCGATTTTGTCGGACCGTGACCCCATCTTCACTAGCAGATTTTGGAAGGAGCTCTTTCGTCTGACCAACACAACACTGAGAATGAGTACTCCTTACCATCCTGCAACTGATGGGCAAACCGAGCGTACCAATCAGTGCCTGGAGACTTTCCTCCGGTGTTTTGTCCATGCCTGCCCAAAGAAATGGAGTTCTTGGCTGCCCCTCGCTGAATATTGGTTTAACACGAGTTATCACAGCGCTCATGGAAAAAACCCCTTCTTTGTTCTCTATGGTCACGAACCACGACACTGGGGGATTGAGGCAGCTTCGGCTACTCCTGTCACCGATCTGGATGCCTGGCTCTCCGAGAGGGTGGAAATGCAAGCTTTAATTCGTCAGCACTTACTGCGGGCTCAAACAAGAATGAAACATCAAGCTGATAAGAACCGATCTGAACGCAGCTTTGACATTGGTGACTCGGTTTATATCAAGCTTCAGCCGTATGTTCAGAGTTCAGTAGCTCGTCGCGCCTGTCACAAACTGTCTTTCCGCTACTTCGGGCCCTTCTTGGTGCAAGACCGGATTGGGCAGGTAGCATACAGAGTGGGATTGCCTGAACATTCAAAGATCCACCCCGTGTTCCACGTTTCGCAACTTCGCAAAGCCATCAAGCCAGGTGTGTCCGTTTCCTCTGTTTTGCCTGTTGATACTAACCAGTTTGCGATTCCCGTGGAAGTGCTTGACAGTCGCATCTTTACCTACTAATAAACCAGCTATTGCTTCTGGTCGTACGTCATTGCATTTTTGCAGAAAAGTCCCTCCGTTTCTGAGAAATTAACCCGCGCTCCTCCTAATAAGTGAACCAACGGGGGAAGGAAAAAAAACGCACGACGACCTCGCCTTCCATCACCACCTCCAGCGCTCCACCTCCAGCGCGCCGCCGCATCGACGCGCAGCCGCCTGCCGCCAACGCCCCTCCGCCGTGCGCCTTCCCCACCGCTATGGCTTTCCACCACCGGCGACACTCGATGTTGGCGCCACACCTTCCCCCATCCCCTCTCTCTCGCCACGACCCGACGTCGTCGTCCTCCACCACCAGCCCAGCCCTTGCGTCTTCCTCTTAAAGCGACGCTACCCACCCTCCCTCCTCTCTTTGGCCGACGTCCCGTGCTCCGGCAACGGCAAAAAACAGTTCCAAACCGTCTGCCTCGCCTCTCAATCACAGGTGAGCCGACGGGAGTCGGTTCCTCTCCTCCCCAATGCTCTTCTTCACCTGGCCGGAGCACCTGCTCCTCCCATCACGCGCAGATCGACGGAGCAGTTCGATGGTCGTTGCCCAGCTGCGTGCAGTTCAGTACTGCTCTGCCCCATCGACTTCAACCACCATCTCGCCAGGTGCACGCCATGTGTTTGCTAAAAAGACTCAGCGCACTGCAACATCATTTTTCTTTGTTTCATGGTCATTTGTAGGTAGCTCATTCTTGCTAATTTCTGTAGCTTAGATTACTTTACAACGTTTATCCTGTGTGCTCTGCACTTTAGGTTGTTTGCACGAACAGTACACTACAAGGAATTTTGTCCGTTTGATCTGTGTTGAGAAAAAAGTTTGAAGTGTTTTAAAAAACAGTTGGTTTATATTGTTGTATTGTGATTCACTAGAAGGAATTATGGCAGTAGTTCAGCGAAAAAGGTTTACCTCAGTTCAGACTAGAGTTGCTGGTGCTTTAGGGTGGATGGTCCAGATAGACCAAAACAATGGTGCCTATGTTTACTGCACTTGCATACTCTGGTAAGCGCTTAGGCCTGATTTGTTGTTAGCAGCCTGGGTAATTAATCCCCTTCCTGCAACTTTCAGCTTGCTTGTGGACCCAAGATTGTCCAAGTGAGATGTTGGGAGAAGGTGCTAGCTGCACACGGAGTCTCGTTTCTTGGTAATGGCGAACCAGTTTCCATATCTCAGCATATTCAACATGTTAAGAGTTCAATTTGTCTCGGTATGCTGCTATAGGGCTTGGGCACATGCGCCTTTCTCAAGATGTGTCTGCAAGCAGCTATACATTTTTATCCTGTTGTGCTCTGATCGCCTGATGGTCTTGGATGGTGTAATTGCTTTTGATGATTTAGGAAAATTTGTGTTAAATCTTCTCGAAAGATTCAAGCTGGTTGACATGAAACCGGTGGTGGAGCAGTGCAGCAGACGTCAAGGCTATGAATGGCGGCAAGGGATAGAGCCCTGGCGCTTGCTTGAGAATTTAGTTGCTATAGCTAATAACGACTGACCAAATCAGTATGTCTGGAAGTTGAACATTTAGGCTACAACCTGTACGAGGTACAACTTTGTAGGATTGTATGATGAATCTAGGCATGAATTTAATTGAAATCACGTAATGTTTGTATGGTTAAATCACAAAAATTAGGCCTGAGAGTAGCTGGCTGCAAAATGCTGTTCATGTGTAATTATTAATTCATGTTTTTTTGTTGTTAGACAAATGAGCTTGTTTAAGGAATTCAAGTATGGACGTGGAGCAGCAGATGGATGGATGTTAGCCAACACAAAAGTTGCACACGGCAGGTCTGAGATCTTCCACTTGCTACTCGCTCTTGTCAAGACATTAGGTGATTATAAGGCTGTCATGGGTGAAGTGTTGGGGAAGCATAACAAGGCTCTGGAGCATCAAGTTCTTCCAATTACTTCTGCAGATGCCAAAGTAGTTCAGCCAGTTGCCCAAAATAAGCAAGTCTACCTTAAGGCATGAATTTGTTATACTTCAGGCCCCAAACTGTGTTTATAAGCAGTAGCTTATGCTTCCTCTACTTAAGGCACGAGATTGGCACCAAAAGTTTCCTCACAAACTTTCACTATTTTCATTGCAGCAAGGCCATTGTCCATCTCCAGAGAAGCGCAAGGCCATTGTCCATCTCCAGAGAAGCGCAAGGCCAATAGCCCACTAGATAAGGCTATCGAGGAGCCGTCTGAAATAGATGTACTTACTGCGTTATTTGAAATGAATGGATATCTTGTTGACACAGTTTTGGGATAAAATAAAACAGGTATGATGCAAATTTAATTTTAGCGGTATAGATTTTGTACCGTTACAGTGGACGGGCTAATGTGGGTTTTGATTTCTGTGCAGATTAAGTGATGGGTGTCAGGCTCTATGGTGTGTTTGACTACAACACTACTGATGTCGCACAATCTGCCGGGGATGAAGTGGCAGATGCCATCGCAAGTGTTTGCACATGATGCAGTAATAGACAAAGCATATCAAGGTGCAGTGTCCTAGGCTCCTAGGTGTTCAAAGGTTCATGCATATCCAAGTGTTCTTGACCCATGAAGTAGCAGACTAGCAGCCACGTACATGTTCACTCTGCATGGAGATTCAGTATGCATATATCAAGAAAATATATTAGACAGTGTTATTCCCATTTTCTGGCAACAAGCAGAGTGACTGCTAAGCTCTTCAGCATGTCCGCAGTCAATCTGGTAGCAAAAGCAGTTGCAAAGGAAAGTTGACTACACTGACAAAAAAATAGATGTTTGCTTTATTCTATTATGCAGAACTATACTACATTATATCTTTAGACTGGGACACTGATGTATAGACCATCATTTTTTAGTACTTAGAAGGGGTTCATGGCAAAAGATAAATTTCAGATGTACATGGTATAACTTTCACCTTTGAGGTTCTTCAGGACATGTTCTATTTGATGTTCTTCAGGAGAGGTTCAAGATTACATTCAAGGAGAGAATGTAGCCATAGTGACATTCATGAAGTGAAGCAACTGCCAGCATTGTAGGAGAGGTGTAGTCGGGGCTGTCATACCATGTAAATCAGTGAGCTACTCTTTGTAGAGTTGCTACGAAATTTATGTTAATTTCCTGCGGATGAATAAGTTCCTAATATTGTTTTAATGAATTTCTATTTCGTCTTGTCTAGACTTAGCAATGTGGACATATCTAATTTTATTGTGGAAAGCACCACAACTTTTGCCTCGAACAAAACAAGGTATTTGGGTGAGACTGTAAGCACCTAAATGATTTTTGTTTGATTCTTTTTTGAGTTTCCAGTTATCCTCTATTTCTTTGCTTCATTTTTACTGGTTTTGAAGCATTTGTTACTAATAACTTTTGCTGTTATTTTCCTTTCATGAGTTTGTATTTGTTTCTATTGCTGATCGACCGGCCTCTTTTTTTATACAAACATATAATTTCAGAGTACTTATCTATTAGGACATCCTTAGATTCATCTTTGTACAACTTTATACATGGTAATCCCATCTCCCGTCGCAACGCACGGGCAATTTTCCTAGTGAAGACTAAAGCGAACAGAGTGGTGGCTCAAGTGTTGGTGCGCTGGTCCGGCGATTCCATCGAGCCAACTTGGGAAGACAGAGACGAGCTTCATTCGCGTTTCCCGTGCGCAGCGGCTTGGGGACAAGCCGCAACTCAAGCAAGGGAGGGTGTTAGCACCCCTGACAGCACCAGCCCATCAGCCCAACCAACTACCGAGCCCGACGAGGAGACGGCCCAAGGCCCAGCCAAGAGGATCAAGAAACCCAACCCAAGAGTGAGTGGCAGCCAGTGGGTGAACGCAACACAGGAGGGATAAAGGGAGAAGCTGGCAACCCTGAGGGGATCGAAGATCGATCAAGGCACGGCACGGCACGGCGGCGGCTACCTACTACCTTAGAACCCTAGTTCCTTTTCCACTCATCTCCAATTTGGCACCTTGGTGCTTGTAATCTTCAGATCTTGTGAACCACCACCATATTCTGAGAGTAATACTAGTGCCGTGCTAACAACACTGTATAGATTGCTCAATTCTCATTGTGTTTTATGTAACATCTCCACCAATGCAAGCGCGATTGGGTGGCGAAATTAAGGATTCCGGGCTTGAGCAAACATATATGGTGTATCATCAGCCAATACAAACTAGTACCAACAGATTAGCTATACTGTGGAACTGATGCCAGTGGACAATTGGCTCACCCCAGATCGGATGAGCTCGATGCCGCAGAGGAGTGTGGAGGCGTAGGAGTCCTCCTCCGTCATGTGAGATTCATAGGGCCAGATCCTCCCGTGCAGCCACGTCATCAGGTCGACGTCGTCGGCGATCCCCCGCGCCAGCTGCTGCGACGTGTGCACGTGGGTGTTCACAAACCCTACCAATCCAAGCAATCAAGCAACAAGCACAAGCGTCACTGGAAAGTGGAAACTGACTGATTTTTGCAAGGGGAAGAAGCTTCGTCAAGCAGAGGCGCGCGGGTACCAACCGGGAAGGAGGATACGACCCCCGAGGTTGAGGGTCTGCGCGGCGCCGGGGAAGGCGCCAAGGACGTCCGCCGAAGGGCCCACGGCGGCGATGCGGTCGCCCACGACGGCGATGGCGCCGTCCCGGAGGACCGTGAGGGCGCCGTCCATGGTGACGACAAACGCGTTGTGGAGGACGATGTCGGCCGATACCGCCGCCACCTGCGTCATTTTCGCGCCACCTCCCGGAGCGGCGTACGCCCAGACGACGGAGAGTCGCAGGTCGGAGGCAGCAGGCAGTGAACCGGATACTACGGCGGAGACTGTTCGCTTTCTGTTCCTCGGAAGGGGCCCTCGTCTTCCAATTAGAGCATGGTTAATAGTACAGGGAGACATGTTGCCATATCATATTAACCATAGTTTCAATACAAACTAAAAACATAGTTTCGATTACAAACTAAAAGTAGTTCCGATGAAAAAAATATTCAACTGCAAACTACTGCAGACTACTCATAGGAGTGGTCGTCCCAGTTGATGTCGGAGCCCGACTCGTCGGTTTCGTTTTTCGCCGAGTCCGAACTATCGAGCACGACCACCATCGAGGGGTCAGACTCCTCCTCCTCCTCCTCCTCCTCCTCCTTCTTGTTCCGTGACGAGTAGAACTTGTACCCCACCTGCACAAGGTGCGGATTTTCCGCCGCAAACCTCGCCGTCACGGCCTCATCCCACCCACGAGTGTCACACTGATCAAGTGTGTCTCGTTCTTGTGCGACGGTTGTCATCTCGGTCACGTGACCAGTCAACTCCGCATCGGCCTGGTTGTCGATCTTCGGGAAGTTCAAGTGTGAATTTGGTTGGCTGAGGCGCCAACAAGACTTGTCGAAGGTGCAGACGGCGATGTCCGGCTCGTCCCATCTGTCGAGCCACTAGCGCATGCCGTCCTGTGTGATCTCGGCTGAGTGACAGCCTGATTGACACCAACACACGCCGTGGAAGCCGGTGGAGCTTCTTGGGTGGTGGCTCCGTAGCATCGCGACGGCAACCGAAACAGGCGAAGAGAGGCGGGGGGAGGTGGGGGCGGATCCGTGGAGGCAGCTCCAACAGGCGGATTTGGTGGCGGCTCCACGATGAAGAGAGGCCGGGAGAGGCCGGATCTGTGACGGATTCGGTGGCGGCGACATGCAGGCGGTTAGGGGGTGTTTCACGCTGCACGCTACTATGGGGTTGTGGCCGTTTTTGCGTTTCAACGGCTGGTCGGGTGATGCAAATTTGCATCACCTAGAGTTGATTTTATATCGAACCCTAAAATGGGACCATACAAATTTACATATACATCACCTGTTGGAGCTAGATTTTTAGGCACAGTGATGTAAAAAGTATCTTTTCATCAAGTGGTGTATTTTACATCACCTGTTGAAGATGCTGCTCTTATAGCATCTATAACCGTAGACAAAAATTTAGAAAAAAATTGATTTTAGAGTGGAGAGAGAAGATTTTTGTCTTCACAAAATTTTCTACTTTCGGCAGATAAAAACTAGAGACCGGAAATTTTAAAAGCAAGAAATATAAACATAAAGACAGAGTTCATTGTCATAAATTTAAACTCTAGTATGAGATGATGCATATTAAACATAAAACACCATAAATTAGAAACTAACTCTATGCTACATGGCGATAAATTAAGAGCTACCCTTATCCGAGTCGTCACGCCGGAGGGCCCGGCCTCGTGGTCATTGGTGGTAGACTTGCTCCGCAACAATTATATCTTGTCGAAGAGCTCAGCCTCAAGATGGTCGAACATCTCAGCATCCACACGGGCGGTTTTCTTATGCTCTTGATCCTTGTAGTGTGCCCTCCTTCGACTTGAAGAACGCGCGATTCTTGACGAGGAGTTGCGGATTGTCCTCGACGAGCTTCGTCACGAAGGCATCATCTACGCGCTCTGCATTGAGTTGCGCCTCAGCCTTGCGGTGCTCCTTCTCATCGTCCCAAGAGATTACCTTCACAGGAGGTGTGTGGAAGGACGAGTAGGCGGCGGTGGAAAACTGAGCCTCGCCCAACTCCCAAAGTTGCAAAGCACTGTGGATTCGTACGCCCGTGTCACCTCCTTTGCGGTGGTGAAGGTGCCAAGCCACCGACGCTCGATGGTGTCCGGGTTGCGGATCTCTATCGCGTAGTTGCTTGACGGCGGAGGAGCTCGGGGGCGGCCAACGAGGCGAGGGATTGGGCGGCAATGACAACCTTAGAGGCGGGGCAGATCTTGCGGCAGGGAACTCGGATCCAGCAGCAGGCAACTCAGGGGCTACCAAAATCGGGTGGCGACGATGGCTGACGTGGGAGTGGTGGCGGTGGCTTAGGGTGGCCAGAATCGGGCGCGATGGCAGCGGGCGAGGAGACGGTTGCGATGAGGAACTTTTAGATCAGGCGGTTGGGGTTCTGGCGGCAACAATTTAGGTTTTTGGTCGGTTGCTAGTGGTGACCCAAATATACCACTCCTATAGCAATTTTCTGGTCATAAGAAAATATAGTCACCATGCAGGTATTGGTCTGGCGTTGGAGTTCCTTATTTCCCCTAAAAGGCTAAAGCATCATGACTTTTGTTTTGGTTGTGCTTTTTAGTCTGTTGTTGATGATACTCTTAGCATATGAGCTAGGGGGTGCTACTCCCATAGGAGTCATTGGGTTTCCGCAAAGAGGAAGGGTGAAGTAGATAACAGCAAAGATTTTCCTCAATTAAGAACCAAGGTTTATCGAAACAGTAGGAGTTTATAAGCTAACAAGATAAGAGGTGCATGCACACAAACAAAATAAAATACTTGCACCCAACGCGGCAACGGGGTTGTCAACAAGCCCCTTGTCTTGCTAGTTACAAGGTTAAAAGCAAATAATAGATACGCAAACAAAATATAACAATTTTTGTAGCAGAAAGTATTGATGGAGAATGGACCCGGGTGGCATAGGTTAGTAGTGGCATCTCTCTCTCAAAAACATGTGAATGGCATGGTAAACAAATTACAGTTGGGCAATGAAGGAAATATGCCCTAGAGGCAATAATAAAGTTATTATTTATTTCCTTGTTTCATGATAAATGTTTATTATTCATTCTAGAATTGTATTAACCGGAAACATAATACATGTGTGAATACATAGACAAATAGAGTGTCACTAGTATGCCTCTACTTGAGTAGCTCGCTGGTCAAAGATGGTTATGTTTCCTAACCATAGACATGAGTTGTCATTTGATAAACGAGATCACATCATTAGGAGAATAATGTGATTGACTTGACCCATTCCGTTAGCTTAGCACTTGATCGTTTTAGTTTACTGCTATTGCTTTCTTCATGACTTATACATGTTCCTATGATTATGAGATTATGCAACTCCCGATTACCGGAGGAACACTTTGTGTGCTACCAAACGTCACAACATTACTGGGTGATTATAAAGGTGCTCTACAGGTGTCTCCGATGGTACTTGTTGAGTTGGCATAGATCGAGATTTGGATTTTTCACTCCGATTGTCGGAGAGGTAACTCTGGGCCCTCTCGGTAATGCACATCACTATAAGCCTTGCAAGCAATACAACTAATGAGTTATTTGTGGGATGATGCATTACGAAATGAGTAAAGAGACTTGCCAGTAACGAGATTGAGCTAGGTATTGAGATACCGACGATCGAATCTCGGGCAAGTAACATACCGATGACAAAGAGAACAACATATGTTGTTATGCGGTTTGACCGATAAAGATCTTCGTAGAATATGTAGGAGCCAATATGGGCATCCAGGTTCCGCTATTGGTTATTGACCGGAGACGTGTCTCGGTCATGTCTACATAGTTCTCGAACCCGTAGGGTCCGCACACTTAATGTTCGGTGACGATTGGTATTATGAGTTTATGTGATTTGATGTATCGAAGGTAGTTCGGAGTCCCGTATATGATCACGGACATGACGAGGGGTCTCGAAATGGTTGAGACATAAAGATTGATATATTGGACGACTATATTCGGATACCGGAAGTGTTCCGGGTGATTTCGGAGAAAACCGGAGTGCCGGAGGGTTACCGGAACCCCCCCTCCCCGGGGAGAAGTAATGGGCCACATGGGCCTTAGTGGATAGAGAGAGGGCCGGACAGGGCAGGCCGCGCGCCCCCTCCCCCTCTGGTCCGAATTGGACTAGGGAAGGGGTGGGCGGCGCCCCCCTTTCCTTCTCCCTCTCCTCCTTCCTTTCCCTCTCCTAGTAGGAGTAGGAAAGGGGAGTCCTACTCCTACTAGGAGGAGGACTGCTCCTCCTGGCGCGCCCTGCAAGGGCCGGCCGGCCTCCCCCTTGATCCTTTATATACGGGGGCAGGGGCACCCTAGGACACACAAGTTGATTGTTCCAAGCCATGTGCGGTGCCCCCTTCCACCATAATCCACCTCGATCATATCGTAGCGATGCTTAGGTGAAGCCCTGCGTCGGTAACAACATCATCACCGTCATCACGCCATCGTGCTGACAGAACTCTCCTGTGAAGCTTTGCTGGATCGAAGTTCGTGGGACGTCATCGAGCTGAACGTGTGCTGAACTCAGAGGTGCCGTACGTTCGGTACTTGGATCGGTCGGATCGTGAAGACGTACGACTACATCAACCGTGTTCTCATAACGCTTCCGCTTACGGTCTACGAGGGTACGTGGACGATACTCTCCTCTCTCGTTGCTATGCATCACCATGATCTTGCGTGTGCGTAGGAATTTTTTTTGAAATTACTACGTTCCCCAACAGGCAATTGAAAAGAATGGGATATTTATGACTACGATCATTCATGGCATAATCTCATATAAGCATTAAGTCTGTGATAAGTGGACCATTAATCCGACTGCATCTAACACTAATACTCCACCCCAAAACCGCTAACCAACATGCATCTTAAGGTATTACGTTCGCAAGAAATAGAGTATCACAATAAGCAAGATGACATAATGTAGACAGGAAGAAGTCTATCAATATAACAAAACCCGCGAGCCAGGCCCGAGCAATGCACTGACCGCACATGGTTGTAGATGGCGTGGGGCATGGGTAGACGATGTGTTGTTTACCAACGCCGTGCCATAAATCCTCTCACCCTTTTCTCATTGCTCAGTCTCCCCTCTCTCCACTCTCTCATCGGCAGCGATCACCATCGTAGGAGGCAAGGTCTGGCAGTGAGCACAAGCTTCATCATTGATTCGTCACCTCTCTGCCACACCTT